GTCTTCCAGGGCGGCTATCAAATTTCCTTATCCCTTTGGTGGCGCTCGAGGTGATAGGATCAAAAGATTCGCGTCGAGGTTGGCGCTGTTGCGTAAGATGTCCCTCTCAGCTTGAACTGACCAACAGCGTCTATCACTAGTGGCACTGCCCAGCGCAGCTAGAGCGTGCGAGCCTTGATGGACCAAATGTGCGAACCTTGAGGATGCTCTTTGTCAGGGGCGTCTTTTTGTTTGCGCTCTGCGTTCATATAGAGCATGTGCCATGCACTTTTTGAGTCCACGGGCGCCAATTGGTCAGAGACGGTCGGACGCCGATCAGCAAGCGGTGGGCTGATAAGGTGCCATAAACAATTGCGCAACACTCACGGGTAAGATGCCCTGTGACTCCCCTCGCGGGGGGGGTAGAAGCCAGAGGGACGCAGTCTATTTGTTGGGGCGTCATGCTGCCATCCTCTTGGCTTGCCGCCTCCTGTCACATTATCCTACCCATTATTTATGTTGGCTGCATCGTCCTGTTGTTTCATTTCACTTTGCGCGTGCCTCACCAATACTTAGCTCACGTGTCTCATCAATACATGCTTATCCCCTTGCCAGGCTCGTGGATTTTCTTTCCCCTCCATTCCGCTGTCTACTCGCTGTCTTAATTTCGAGTTCGGTAAGTTATTGGTTATCATCAAACTTCTGATCCTTTCTCCTCCTCCACCTTGTTGTCATCGTCCCTTCCGTTTTCTTTGCGTATTTCCTTCTCTTTCCCCTTTTCATTTGCTTTGTCATCGTCCTGGTCGTCGTCGTATGCGTGCTCCTCCTTCCACCTTACTCCGCCCTCCCCCTTGTTTCATCACCCGCTTTACTGTCATCCTTCTCATGCTCCTTTACTTTCATCTACAGTGGAAGCTCAGGGAGGTTCAGGAAGCAAGCGGCTGTCAAACGAAGCCTCGTTGGCTGCCGGAGGAACCGCACGGAACCTCTTGGTGCCGCCTTGGGCCTCCTAGAGCGTCCTGGGGAGTCCTGTGGCCTGTTTGGGCTCTTCGGGGCCTCTTGGAGCCGCCTGGGCCCTCTGGAACCCTCTGAGTATAATTCAAAGTGGGTCCTCCTGGGGGCGCCTGAGATCTCGCGGTCTCTCCTGGGGCCGCCATGGGCCCTCCCAGAGCCTCCGTGGGCCTTCTCTGAAGCCTCTCGCGGGGGCGGAAAAGAGAAGACAGTTTCACGCATGGGAGCCTTTCCTGCTTGCGCTCGAGGTTCCCTCTCCCGCACGGCGCCGTCGGAGCCATCGAGGCTACGGATGAGGTAGAGGAGGAGGAGGAGGAGGAAGAAGAGGAGAAGGAGGATGATGAGGAGGAGGAGAAGAGGAGAAGAGGAGGAGAGGAGAAGAGGAGGAGGAGGAGGAGGAAGGATCAGGAGCAGGACGGATGAGAAGGGGGAGGATGACGACGAGCAGGAGGAGAGGGAATCACGTCCGCCCTGGAGCCTCTTGGTGTCGCCTTGGGCCTCCTAGAGCGTCCTGGGGAGTCCTGTGGCCTGTTTGGGCTCTTCGGGGCCTCTTGGAGCCGCCTGGGCCCTCTGGAACCTTCTGAGTATAATTCAAAGTGGGTCCTCTTGGGGGCTCCTGAGGTCTCGCGGGCTCTCCCGGGGCCGCCATGGGCCCTCCCGGAGCCTCCGTGGGCCCTCTCAGAAGTCTCTCGCGGGGGCGGAAAAGTGACGACAGTTTCACGCATGAGAGCCTGCCTGTTGAGAAAGGGAGTGCGGTGAAAGTTAATAAAATAACGATAGTGTCGCCTTAGAGGTCCAAAACTCAAGGAAGGGTGCCCCCCCCACTGGGGAGTCACAACCTTCGCCCCCCGCCGCCCTACCCCCTGGGGACCTTCCCCCGGACCCTCCCCAGGACGCCCCCCATAACCCTCCCTGGGACCCCCCCACCCGCCCTCCCCTGGGCGGGAGAGGGATCAAAGGGAAGGGGCTTCACTTCGACTCGATTGCGACGTTGCTCGATTTCTCTTTGGCTGGGACGTTTGACGAGGAGGGCCCACGGACAGGGACAGGGGGGAGCGGTGACGGCGACAACGACGACGACGACGACGACGACGACGACGACAACAAGGACGACTCAAACGGAAAAGCCTCTCACACACTCCGACAGAGTCGGCGTTGCCACCGGTGCTACACGTTGTAGATGGTTGACGTGCGTCCCCGGGTGGCTAATTGTTTGCTGCTCGGTTTCCGAGAGCCTCGCCGAACACCTCTCTGGGCGCTTCCTCGGAGCTGCCCTGCACTTTCTTGGGGCGCACTGCGGGCATGTTGGGGCCTCCAGGGCGTCGCCGGGCCGCCCGTGGCACGTACCGCACGCTTGGACGTCGTGATCTCGCACCGCCCCCGCCCCACGCCGCAGGCGGGAGCGGCTGCGTCGGCACCCTCTGCCGCCAGCCCGGCCAGGCGGAGCCATCCTGCTGCTCTGGTGCCACGTTGGGGCAGCCCGGGGGGGCCCAGCAGGAACCATCGTGGGGGGCCGCGTTGGATCCTCTCGGGGCTTCGCGCCCTTCGGCAATCCTCGGGCCACGTCTCCATCTCGGGGCCTCGGGGGGCCAACTCGGGGGCCTCCTGCGGGCGTGTGGGGGCCGTCTTCGGGCATTTGTTGGGCAGTCCCGGTAGCGGTCTTGGCGGCACCTGCCCTCTTCGGAGCGTCTTGAGGCCGTCCTGGCCGTCGCGCGGCGTCGCTGCTGAAGAGTGGCGGCCTCGATCGGCCAGGGAGTTGAGGGGCGCCCGCGTGAGCTCTCTGACGCCGCGCGCCCCTCCCGGCAGACAGTAGAAAACACGCTGGGCTGGAGAGAAAGTATCGAACATATGATACGTAACACCCCGCAGTTGCGTATGAGAGTGAGGGGGCGGGCGGGTGGTTCGCGGGGTGGTCGCGGGTGGGTCGCGGGGGGACGACGACGACAAAGACGACGACGACGACCACGACGACGACGACAACAACAGCAACACCAGCAGCAGCAGCAGCAGCAGCAGCAGCAGCAGCAACAAGAACACGATCACCACCAACAACAACAACAACAACAACAACAACAATCATTGTAGGACTATTCGCTCTTAAATGTTCGCGTGCCGTTCAACACGTAGATTCCAAACCCTCGATGACCGCCCTCTTCCTCTTCGATCGTACCCTTCTCGGGGGTAGATCTTCCTTACTTGTATTCGGTGCAGCCCCTACAACAGGGGAAAGGAGGGAGGAGGGAAGAGACAAGGGGGAGAGAAAAGGACGGAGCACGAGAGAGATTTGCAGGGACTGGTGGCCCCTGGAGACTGCCGAGCACGAGCGGGATCAATCAGCCGAAGTGCTGAGCGTCCGTGCGAACCGAACAGGTGTGACCGCGCAGCTGATGCTGCACAGTCATCATCACCCTTCGTGTTAGGTCGGGCATGTGCCCCTACAGGCGGATTTGGGGCGACAAATGAAAAATAGCCAACACATGTTCAAACATTGTCAAAACATAATGAAACATCGTCCCCTGAGTTTTCTGACTATATTTGAATATTCCTCCTGTAGAGGGACATGCCCGACTTAACACTTGTGCCCAGCGTCCCCTGGGCACGTTGATCGGGCGACGAAGTCTACACACGTCCACTGCTCCTGGCCTGGCCGTTCCTGGGCACAGTGGCCGTGTGCACTCGCCCGCCTGGCCAAGCCAGGACGGCGTGGCGTATACACCGCGGCTGTGCTCAGGATGGGCCCGGCCAGGGAGCAGTGGATGTGTACAGAGTTCGTCGCCCTACCTAGGAAGCCTTACCCCCTCCCCCTCCTCCTCCTTCTCCTTCTCCTCCTCCTCCTCTTCCTTTTGCTCCTCCGTGGCGACAGCTGCAGTCGGAGAAATAAAGTTGGAAACGAAATGCTCCACTTCCCGCATGGAAGCATTTGAGTACACATCATATTAATGGCAACTCACATCAGTCACATACAGCGCTGCACGCACGTCGAGCCGACGTGGGCCAAAAGGTTGACTAAAATTCTGCACCGCTTGGATCGCGCCTGGGCGGCGGCCCCATCCGCTCGGCGGCGGCCCCGTCCGCGCTCGAACCGCCTTGAGACCGTCCGATTCCTAATTCAGTATTAGAACGAATGAGTTCGGATCAGTCTCAAAATCTGCACGGCATGGTATAAATTCACACACGCGCACTCCGGACGCGTCCGATGGCGGACTCAAAGCGGTCTCAAACAGTCTCAGAGGGGTTCAAAATGCCCCGAAACTTTCGGCGCCGAGCACATCCGCCAGTCTCACATGGTCTCAAAGTGCAACGAAACCCTCGGCGCCGAACGCAGTCGCGCGTCTCAAAGGGCTTCAAATCGCCCCGAAACCTTCGGTGCCGAGCACATCCGCGACTCTACGAGCGATCTCTTGAACATCTTTCAATGCGAGAGAGAGGGGGGAAGGCAAGCTAGGTACGCTCGCGTCATAGCTGACGTCCGTCCTCCCTCTCCCTACCATCCCTTACACTGGCGCTGCTGTTTCTCTATCCGCGGACGCGTGGCGTAGTGGAGCTGTGACTCCGACAAGGGCCGCGTTTGGCAGGATCATGGGGTAGAACGTACGCGTGGTGGTGGCGTGCGTGGTGGTGGTGGCGGCGGCTTGTGTTTTTGTGTGTGTGTGTGTGTGCGTGTGTGTGTGTGTGTGTGTGTGAGTGAGTGAGTGAGTGAGTGAGTGAGTGAGTGCGTGTGTCTGCGCGCGTGCGTAGTGGTTTGTGGCGCGCGTGCGCTCGACCGTGGTGGTATGTGTGCGTACGTAAATAATGCGACGCACTGCAATGCGACCACGTGCGATGCAACGCAAGGCACTGCACAGCAATGGAGTCGAACCGGCCGCACGCATTGAACTAAATCTGGACATCGCGTTTTCGCGCAAAGCATTCAGTACCATTGCAACCCTAATGGCGACGCCGCGAAGAACGTGGCCCCCACGCGAGCGCGACATCCATTTCCAAACAGATCTTCTCGGACTGAAGCCGCA